AATAGTTATTCTCAGGTAAGCTTAATTTGTAATTGAAGTTTAAACATCAGTAGTAAGAAATACTTTTATTAAGAGATTTTTAAGTTTATCAGCAACTAAAGAATGATGATCTGTAAATTTATTAATTATTGTCTTTGCAAATATTGACACGATGATAAAACATATTTTTGATCTAAAACATTATATAATTTTTTAAACCAAGAACTTTTTACAATAGAAAATGGTATTTAAGATCTAATAACAAAATCAATAATGGCATTTGTGCATAGTGTTCCTAATGAGTCGAGTCGAGTTGAGTTTCAAGTCAAAATTATCTTATATACCTTTAATTTAAAGTACTTATTTATTATGTGTAACTAAAATTTACAATTATGCACAATCATACGAGTCAAATATGCGAGTTTATGCGAGTCATTTTCAGAACTCTATTTGTACAATCTTTAACACTTATTGTATCAAATTTGCTATATAGATTTTTAACAAAATGAAGTTGCATTTGTTACTTTATTGAAATATATTTATGTTCATTGAATATATGATCCGTTAGAAGTTGCGTTGATATTTTAGAACTATATTCTTTTTTACACAAATTACAAATTATTGTTACAACTTTATTCATATTATCATATTTTTTATACATATATTCCTAAACAGCTAAAGTAGTTTTTCCTTTATTCTTATCAATATTAAATATTCGTGCTATCTTTTTTTTGTTATTCAGAAATAGATGGTTCATTTGTATTATCATCAAAATCAAAATCAAAATCAAAGTCTTCTATTTCTTCAAAGTTTATACTGGTATTTTTGTTGTCTAACATGTTAAGTGAAAAATGTTAATTGAAGATCTAATATTTCACGTTTAAATATAATAATTTAGTATTACTTACTAAAATAATAATTTAACGACATTGATTCTGATGCTAATTTAACTAATTTTTTTAAAAGTAAGTTCTTATTAAATATAAAATTAGAATAATAAAATTGGATTGTTTTTGCATAAATTTAAAAAAAAAATTGCTAATTATCCAGAAATTTTAATTAATAGTAAACCTAAAGATAAATCAAAGATAAATCAATAGTGATTATTGGAATATTATTATTGAAATTTGTATTTCCTTCTGAAAATAAAAATTTGAAATTATGTAAAAATTTAGCAATTTTATCAAAATTGTAATCATTAGATAATTTTATAAATTAGAATACATGTAATGCATAAAAATAGAATTATAATTGATTTTGCAATAATTAGATAATTTTGACTAAATAGAATTATTTATTTAAAAATGTTTCAAATTTCTGACATATATCGATATAATTTTATATAAATTTATAAGTATTTTTTTTCTTTTTTCTTTAATTGTTAAAAAATTAAATTTAACAATTTTTAAATTTTCAATTTATCAAAAATGCCAAATACAATCGATTAGAATAATAATGAAATTAAATTGTTGATAGACAAAAGAAGAAACAAAAATGAAGAATATTAGTTCATGCTTGAAAGATCAAAATTACCTTTTTAGAAAGAAGTTGCAAAGAAGATCAAAGAAGAATTTAATATAGATGTTACAGTAGTGCAATATTAAACAAAGTTTAAAGAAATGGTTAAGAATTGTAAAGTAAGTAAAATCCTGATTAAGAAAGCAAACGATTTAATTGTATAAAATAAAAATTATAAATAATCAATATTTTTAGTTATTTGAACTTTATGTGAAAGGAAATCTGAAAGGAAGGTGAAGTAAAGTTAGTGAAAAATATGGAGAGCAATTTAAAATTTCATTTTGAAAAAATCTAGTAAGTATTTAAAAATGTATTCTGTTTGATATTTATAGTTAAATTCAACTTTTTATTTTTTAGTTTCTCAAGTAGAAGAAAGAAGACGATTTGAATTAGAATGCTGTAAGTTTTGTTATTTAAGTTTCAAATATTTTAAACTTATTTTAAACTAAATTTTATATTTTACTTTACTAGAAAATTTAAATAATTTTTATTCTTCTAATCCTCTTTCTTCACGAAGATCTGCATCACCACCTTTATTATCTAATACTAAAATACTATCATAAACTATAAACTTCTCTACATAATTCTTTTTTTTTTAAACCTAATTATCACTTCAACTATTGACTTTTTTTTTTTTAAAACAAACTTTAACTGTCACTTTCTTTAACTATTGTCATTTCTTTTTCTTTTTTCATTTTTTCCTTTAATTTCATATTCAGTTTTTTTTATAATTTTTTTTTCTGATTTTTATTAAAAAAAAAATTTTTTTCCTAAATGAAATTTGTCATCTCTACGCAATATTTAGAAACAACAGTTATAGTCTAACTATATCTAACCAAGAGCAAGCATACTTTAACAATTATAAATTAATTTTATTTGTAGTTTTATTTTTTTATTTTATTTATATATCATTATTGTAATAAATAATAGAACTAATTAACATGCAAAAAAAAAATTTTATTATTAAAATTCTATTTCGTTGATTTTAAAAACTAATGCTTTTTTGAATTCTTTTTAGATAAATAATGATAAAAACTTTATTATTTAGATTCTTCTAAATAAATTATCAACTATGGTTAAAACTATAGCTAAAAATTCAGTTAAACCGTCAGTTGAAAAATTAATGGTTTAACCATATTAAATCACATGATAAAAACTGATATTTATCATAGTTTTTAATTTTGAAATCAAACTGAATCAGTTTAGTTATACAACCAATTTAAAACTGATTTATCTTTAACTGTTAATATCTCTACCATCTCTAGTTCACTTGTGTAGTAGGTTGTTTTTTATCATGTATTGAGTTGAATTCTTTTGTAGTTTAATCTATTGAGAGTTGTCTAAATCTGGTAGATATGTAAGAGTTTTCAAGTATTAGATTAGATTTTCATAAAATTCATTATCCATTATTAAAAAATCTATAGTTTAGTGATGGTGATGCATTTTTCTATATTGGATCAAAATCATATGGGTTTATCTGAGATAAGACATTTGCATTTTCATGATATTTTCTTTTTTATATTTTATCTCATAGTTATATTCTTGTAAGGTGGATCTCCATCTCATTATCCTTTTATTTTCAGTTAATTTTAAATCAGCATTTAATAACTATTGTAATGCTGCATGATCAGTGATGATTGTAAATCTACTTTCAAAGATATAATGTTTAAAATATTTTACTGCCTATACAATAGTCAAACATTTCTATTCTGTCATGCTATAATTCTTTTTAGCTGAATTCAAAGTTCTACTAGCATATACAATCACATATTTTCTTTCATTATCTTCTTTTTGAGATAATACTGTGCTTAAACTAATCTGAGAAGCATCAGTATAAAGAATAAAAGGCTTATCAAAATCTGAATATATGAGAATAGGCAGTGTTGTCATAAGACATTGATAGGATACTGATGGGATACTGATAGGACATAGATTGGATAGATAGAACATTTGAAACATAGTATAAAACAGGTTAGAACATATAGTTAGAATAATAAATCTCTGAAACATCAAAATGTATATCACTGAGGATAAGTGCTGTTATCAATTTTTCTTTCAATATATCAAACACTCTTTGCCTTTCATCATTCCATGTATAACTTTTCTCTTTTTCTGTTAGTTTATATAATAGAGCTAATATTTTTGAAAATCCTTAGTGAACCTTCGATAGTAAGAAGCTAATTCTAGAAAAGCTCTTAATTCTATTAGATTTTTTTGATTTAGAATAGTTATCAACTTTTTCAATTTTTAAAGGATCAGATTGAATTCCTTCTTAATTAACTAAATGTCCTAAAAACTTTATTTCATTAGTATAAAAGTAACATTTATCTGACTTTATTCTCAAATTAGCTTTTCTAATATGATCAAAGACTAATTGTAAGTGTTGCAAATATTTTTGAAATGTTTTTGAGTGAATATTTTTAAATCATCTATATAAATCTTAATAAACTTTTATTTTCTTTTTAAAAGATAGTATTTATCATTCTTTGGAAAGTAGCTGAAGCATTGCATAATCTAAATAGCATTACTGTGAATTTATACAATCCTTTGCTAGTAATAAAAGCAGTTTTCTCTACATTTTCTAGTTGAATCTTTATTTGCCAAAACTCTGATAATAGATCTAAAGATGTGAACTAACAAGAGCCTTGAAGTGAGTCTAATAACTCATCTATTTGTGGTAATAAATAATTATCTTTCCTTGTGATTATGTTAAGTTCTTTGTAATTAATATATATTCGTATTTGACCATTTTTCTTTTTAACTAAAACTATAGGTGTAGACCAAGGACTATTAGATAGTCGAATTACTCCTTATTTTAACATTTCTTCTATTTCTGATGCTATCCATTCCTTTTCCTTTGGAGATATTACATATGATCTCCTTTTTATTGGATGCATATCTTCTGTGATAATTGTATATTGAAAAATGTTAGTTTGTATTAACTCTGACTTTTCATTAGCAAATAGATCTTTATTTTCCTCTAATAACTATTGTAACTGCTGCTGCTGGTCTTTTGATAAGTTTCCTATTAGTGTTTCTTTTTCTTTTGATATTTCCACCAGTTTATTATTTGCTTCAATTTATATTTTATTAATTGAGACAACTATTTGATATTTCTGTAGATCCTGATGCAATACTTTACAATATAAACAATCTTTTCCTTTTGATAATGTTTTACATAAGCATCATCCTGATTCTTTCCAATACTTGTCAGTCCTAAGAAGTTTTAAGTTTGCTGAATTCTAAAAATTCAGTTGAATATTATTGATTATTGATGATAGTTATATTATTATCAAAGAATAAGTTTAGATAGTGTTAAGAGTTTTCATATATTTCTTCAAATTCTAACTTGTCATATTTTTTCTCAACAAAATCTATAAGAGTAAATACTTTCAGATCAATCTTAGAAAAGTATGTGATTAAGACAACATTAGTTTATTATTTTATTTGATTGTTATGATTTGTTTGCCTGTATTAATGATAGCTTTTGCTTGCATAGTTATCTAATTATTTCTAAGTAGAATATTATATTTAGAGAATTTAGTAACTATCATATCCTCTTTGATCTCAAACTTTCCTATTTTTACACCTACTTTTAATATTTTTCCTAAGGGTGCTGTTCTTGCCTCTGTAATACTAATTATTTGTATATTTGTAGATTCTTCAATATCTTTATATACAGAATCTAAGAAACTTTTGGTAATGATGCATTCTACAGCTCCTATATCGATTATCACATTAATTTTCCTTTCAAAAACTTTAGCTTTAGCAAAATAAGCATCCTGGGATTTATATTACTCCTATTGAGCTTGAGCAGTTGTCTTAGCTATCTCTAAGTTTTTGAATATCCTTTGGAAATATTTAACATGTGTTGGAGTCATTTCTTTTCTTTTGCATTTCCTTTCATATTTTTTAAAAGCATTTAGAATCCATGAACTTTGCTTATCTGGTTCAGTATTTCTAAGGGTTATATTTATATTTACCTTAGTAATGTAAACATCGCAGTTAAATTCAGGATCATTAAAAATAAGTTTTGGTATATCATTTTTAATGATTAATCCTGTTTCCTCTTCTGTTTCTCTAATAACTGCTTTGATTGAATACTCATTTTCTTTAATTTTTCCTCCAGGAACCTGCCAGAGGTTATATATTTCCTTATGTTTATTAATCCTTTTTGATAGAAATATCTCAACATTATTGTAGATAATGTTTATTACATAAACTGGATTATAGGACTTGTTAGATTTATTACTTTTAGATTCAATTGGCTTTCTGTTATCTCACTACTTTAAAATCTTTTAGACTTTAAAATTCTTTTTCCTTGTAATTATGTGACTATGATGGTTAACATCATTAAAATCACAAACTAAACATGGAGTATTATATTCTTGAAAAATGTGTCAATACTCAACTAATTCATTATCATCTGGAAGTTTATTCAACAATAATATATTCATCCTCATAATCTTTCTTTTTAAATTCTTTAATTTCTTTTAGCAAATCATTCCATTTTATTTGTTTTCTTGAAGAGTTTGGATTATTTGCACTCTTATCTTCTAAAGGTGTATCCACTAGTTTAAATGATTGATAGAAGAATTTGTTTGCTGATTTCCTCTTAAGGATTGCCTATTATTTTGCTAGTTATTTCTATTCCTATTATTTCAATTACCATTTCCATTATTATTTTGATTGCTATTTTGGTTAGACTAATAATTCTTTGCTAAGTGACCAGTTTTATTACAATTGTAGCACACCTTTGTATTATTATTATTGTTATTGTTAATATTATTTTTATTATTATTGTAGCTGTTATTGTTTCTCTATCCTGATCTATAATATCTTGTGATGTATCTAACTTTATTATATTTGTGATAAGTTCTTGTATCTCTATTGTTACTTCTATTATTACTATTACTATTATTACTTGACTTATTTTGTTCTTTTAATTTTGACATGAATAGAACTAATTTTTAGTCAATCATATCTTCTATTGACTCATTTTGCTGAGAGAGATTTATTAGTAAGACTTGTTGGAATGTAGTTATACTTGTTCAAACTGGAATAAATCCACCACTCATACCCTGAAGATAATTTGGTATCATTGAGTATGCAGATAATTTTATTTTAATTGAATATACTACCTCCAATGTTAAAGCTTTATTTATGGCTTCATCAACTATTCTGGATAATGAATATTGAACTGACACAATAAATTCTGATCTTAATTCCTTTATGAACTCTGCTATTTTGTCAACTTCCTGCTTCATCCTTTATGGATTTAATCTTTTCCATAATTCTGTAATTTGAGCAACATATTCATTGATAGTTTCTCTATTTCTTTGCTTAAGATTTTGCATCTGATGCTTTCACTGTTACTTTCTGAAGATACTATAATAATGGTCTTTGAATTGGTAAACAAAGGATCTATTCCATAACATATTATATTTTCAGTATATAGTATTGCTTTACTAAACTATGTAAGAGCTATTTCTTTTAAATAGTTAGGCAATATATCAAGAATACGATTGTCAGCAACTCTATTAGCCTTATAGGCTTGTTCAAAAGCTTTCAACCATTCAATTAGATCCTGATTTTCTCTTGAAAATTCACTAGCCTTGTTTCGTGAGCTATTAAATGTGAAGTTACTATATGTGCCTTTAATAAATCTTCAAATTCTTGCAAGAATTATGCGATTATATCATTTCCTCTTTTTAGTCTTTTTTTGCTTCTTTCTATTATCAGTATCGTTTCTTTTATCATCAGTTGTATTTCAATAAGTATTTCTTCTTTTTTGAATATTTCAAATTGAATTAAAAGTTGTATCTTTAATATTTTACATTATTTCAAGATCCTCTTCATCCTGATCATTTTGATATGTATTATCATATTCTGTGATTGTTAAATCTTTGTATTCTAGATTAGTTTATGGGTTTGAATCTTTTAATGGGTTGTTTTTCTCTTTTTTATTCATCATACAATAATATCTAATATGTGATTTTTCAAGATCAGCAGAAGCATATTTTTCAGATAAATATTTTGGGTCATTTTTTATTGTATTTCATGCATTTTATTTATTTTCTTTTGAAGTTATTTCTTCATACTTTTGTTTAAATACATGATCAGAAAAAATATTATTGGGAATTGCTGCCTATTTCTATGTAGATTAGCTTAATTTTCAGATGTCTTTCTACCAGATGTTGAAGTACTTATATTGAATGTATCTCCGTTTATTTTTGATAATTTTGAAGACTTTCGAGATGTTCTTCTAGAAGTTTCTTTTGAATTACTTTTAGAGTTAGTTTTTGATTTTATTGATGTTTCAAATTCCTAACAATCAAATTCTAGATAACTATTCCAAACACTCTTTAAGTCTGCAAGTGATGTTTCTAAAGGTTTCTGAGTAAGTAGTTGATATCTAATTGATTGTATAATCAATTCAAAGCACTTTCCTAATGCTTCTAAATTTTTTTCTAATGTAAATGTTTTTTCAAAAGCTCTAATAGTTATACTATTAAACTGTTCTCTTTTTATTGCATAAACTATCCAGAAATACCAAAAATTCTCAAATGCTTCTAAAGGTTGTTTTGTTATCAGATAACACTCAATACAAGATGGATCTAGATTACTTATTATCTCTTGTTTATTTTCCTGTAAGTATGCTGTAATATATCTAATAATCCTTTGATTATATTCTTTTCTACTTATTATTAACTATTTTATTATTTACATATTCAAGTACTTCCTCAATAGTTAGTCTTAATTTATGAAATCTGATAAAATCCTTAATATTATCAATTTTCTTTTGAATACGCTGAATTATCACGATAGATACTGATTTATTTTCGCTAATATTTTCAAGCAAATTCTTTAAAGTTATCAATTGTAATTCTAATTGCAATAACTAAGATGTGTTTAGAGGTTTAAGATAAACTCTAACATTAGACATTAATTAATTTTAATTTGCAATTTTTTAATTTCTCTCAATTCTTTTAATTTCTGATTTTTGTATCCATTCAACCTGTACCAAATTTGTTATACAAATCGATTGCAAAGTCTACTGACTGAAAAATAGACTTCAATGTGTATAGTAATGTTTTAGATATCTGAAGGATAACAATTTATGTTAACAATCTTAAAGTCTTGTTTGTGTCAATAGAATTATCAGCTGATCAATCGTTAATTTGCATTAAGGAATTTGTTGCTATTGTTATTGCTGTTATCACTGTTATTTTTGCTATTAAGAAAATTGCCAATGCAATTGCCATCATAACTGCTGATGATACAGTTGAATAATTTTCGATGCTCAAAAATAATTTATTTATAGTTAAAGTATATTCTTTTAAAACTTCTTGATTATTATTTATAGATGATTTATATAATAATATTAATTCTTGATGGTGTTGATGACAATATAATCCTCTAAAAATTCTTCATTAATTTTATTAAAAGTCATGTTAAAAAAATTACGTTTGAAAAATTAAAAAAACTATGTCATATTTAGCATTAATAGCATATCATTGCAATTCGTTGTCTCCAAAGGTATAGTCTTTTGCAATGGTATCTTTTAATGCAACCACTGATTCAAAGTAGAAGATTGCAAAAGGTTTTTGTTGAAATAAGGAATATACACAGATTTAGTCTTAGTTGTAAACATGATATCATTAAAGGCATGTACTAAATTCCAAAGAGGAGATTGGTCAATTTGATGCAGAATTCATTTCTTAGTTTCACCTGCTCTGAGGTGAAATATGCAGGGTAAACACGAGCATAATCGTTGTAAATATAACGATGGTCACTAAGTATGAAATAATTCAATAACCTTAGGATTATCATAAATTACAAAAGCATGCTACTACAAGCCACAGGTCTGTATACGGATGTTGATAATGTATCATATTTTGAGAAGATCGAAGTGATAATCTCTTTTTTAAACTTAGATGGATGTCAGTGATACAAAGAGTGCGTTGTTAAAGCTGTGTGTTCTCTTTATGCGTGGTATAATCTACAAATTTTTTAATGCCCATTTCAGAAATAGTTGTAGAAAGTGTATCTTGCATAGACTCCACATTATAGAAGTAAATAATTGCAGATCAGACGAAATTGACGTGACGTACATTAAGCCCCTTGAATGCATTGTCTTTGGCAAATAAGTTATTGATTTTGAATATCAGGAAGAGAAGAACCACTGGCTTCAGGTTGCTTTGCTTTCAAAGAGTCATAGCGACCTTTGTTGGGTTTGATAACGGAAGATTTGTTTTGAGTTTTTCTAAACATTTTTATAAAGTTATCAAAATAAAAGAACTCTTTTAAAGCAATAAAACTGTTTGTAAATTATATGTGCTAAAAAACTAACTAACGGAGTTTATAAAATTTAAATAAAATATTTGAAATAAAACAATTATATTTTCTCAAAAATTTCAGAAATTTCAGAAATTCGGGATAATATGATACTGTTTGCTACTATTTTTAAAATAAAATAGTACCCAGGCTTATGACAAGAACATCAGTACCAATTCACAGCCCAAAAAATAAAAAAATTTAAAAGAATACAAAACACAGTTTACTCTCGCTGTGAATTGTAAAAAAGAACAAAATCAATATAACTACAGTTTACTCTCACTGCAATTATATTAATTATAAATAGAACTTGCAAGGGAGGGAATAATCGGTTCCTAGATTATATATGACTATTCCTACTACAATTAAACAATAAATGCTTAAGTTGTAACATGCCACTATTTAAGAAATAATAAAATAAAAATAGGATTTTTTGAATAAAATAATAAATTAAGAATTAGAATGTAAGGAATAAAATTAAGGTAAAGGGAAAAATTTGAGTCAAATAAAAAAATAAAATAATATTGTAATTAGTTAAGATTTAAAAAATTTGAAAAAAAAAAAAAAAAAAATTTTGCCAATATATTTTACAACAGTTTCAGAAGTATATACACATTCATTATTAATTTTGATTTTAATAAAAAAAAAAAAATCTTACAAATGATAATGCAGATGCGAATGAAGCTATGGCTATCTAAAAAGCAAATCACAACCTTTTACACGTGAAAACATGCCAGGCATAGGGACAAATTCCTCTTCAGTTAATTTCCTTTCGTTGTGAATGGTGGAGAGACGAGAAAGACCGTTATAAAAAAAATAAAAAAATCAAGGAAAAAACAATGCATCGTAAGACAAAAATTTACAGATTAGGAAATAGCCCCCCTTTCTATACTATGGCTTTGACAATCATGGACAATCATCTGATTTTAGTCTTTGTGCATTGTTACACCATTCATTATTTTAAATGTGTTTTTGAAAATTTTTGGTGTTATTAAGATGGCAGGAAATTTGCCAGATTTATGCCTTCTCGGTATCTTCAAACATTTGAATGATGATTATAAAACTTTGTATTCTTGCACATTTGTTAATAAACGATGGAGTTACTCATCTATTCCAATATTATGGACAAATCCGTTCGAGCTGATCAGTTCATTTAAAAAACCTAAACTTTTAAAACCTTTATTAGATACCTATCTTTCTTTTTTACCTCAAAGTCAATCACAAGAACTTGAAATCAAACCAAGATTTAATCGAAATACCATGACCTTCAATTATCCTGTATACTTTCGTCATATGAATTTATTATTGATTTTTGGTGGTATAGAACATTGGTATCAACAAGAACCTACGCGTGAAAACTATTCATGTACTTTATCGAAAGAAATTTCAATTTGTGAAGCATTGGTTGAATATTTCTTTATTCATTCTTCTAAAATTGACACACTTGTTATTCGTAATTTTGATTATTTTGACATCTTAAACCTTTCTGGCTCTACAAATGTTCTTTCAAAAATTCACACACTAATTTTCGATCATGATATTTTCAATCAATTTTCAACTTTATCAAGTTTAAATCAAAATATCAGATCGTTAACATGCTACATTGAACCTCCTCATCTCGAGTTAAATGATAGTTTAAAACAACTTATTCGATCTCAAAAAAATTTAATTGATATTACAATCTCTGAACCTGAACCTGACGAAAGAGAAAAACCCTTTCCGATGTATTGGGAAATATTTCATTCTTCAATAAATGTTACATTGACAATTACTTTTATAGAGTTTGAAGGTATCGAATTTCCTCGAAATTTTTCTTTATTCCATCATTTATCTTCATTTATCAATTTACAATACCTCAAATTTAATGGTTGTGATTTATTGGGTATTTTTTTTAAAGAGGATCAACTTTTACATGAAATTAATTCCTATCGTCCTTTAGCTTTTAAAAAATTAAATACTATCATCGTTATTGAAACTTCTCTCAACATAGAGATATTAAAGATCCTTTTACAGTTATCAGGTGAAGAATTGAGATGTTTGGAATTATTGGATATGAAAATCGCTAAATTTAATTATATTATAAAATGGTTGGAAGTTTTTTGTTTGAAATTAAGAAGATTGGTGGTTATGGATCGATCAAATAAGTTGGAGATAGTGAGAATTCAAGATTTTTTTCAAAAATTTGATAATCTGCCGTATGTAATTATTAATGGAGAAAAATTTACACCTTAAAAAAATTATTATCCCATTAAAGCCTCGAAATTTTTTTGATGTGCCGCAATTTTTGATTAAACCAAATTAGGATTTAATCTACAAATATTTGATATAATGTCGCGTTTATAAATTTTATAATTTTATAAAAAAAAATTTTCTTTTTCAATTAAAAACTATTTTCGAATGGCATCATCGAATTCGCATGAACAATCGGGTTCATTTGCTTCATCTTCTGCACATACAACGCCTCATATAACGCTTACTTTACCACGTAAAAGTCGAGCAAAAGATTTATTAAGAAAGTATTATACATTAGATGGAAAAAAAGCTGATCCTTTAGACATTGGTTTGTTATTTTTTTAATTCATTTATTTATTTCAAGGTTCAAGTCACTGACTTTATTAAAATAATATTTTTTTTTTTTTTTTTTAGACAATTCTGCTTTTGAAGCTGAAAAATATGTTAATAATATGCTTGTCGAAAAACATCTTAGTGAATTGATGCAAAGAGATAATGATTTGAGTACTGGTAAAATATTTAATAATAATATATTTTTTTTTTTATAATTCATTTAATTAATTCTGATAACATTAAAATTATTATATTATAAATTCCTCTCAAGAAATTAGACAACTTGATGGAGACATGAAAACCTTGGTTTATGAAAATTATAGTAAATTTATAAGTGCTACTGATACCATTAGAAAGGTAAAAATAATAACAAATAAATAAAAAATCAAATAAATATTACAATCAAGTAAAAACAAATTTGAATTTTTTTTTTTTTTTAAAAAAAAGTTATCTTTTATTTTAGATGAAAAGTAATGTAGAAAATATGGAATCAGAAATGGATCAACTTTCTCAAAGTATTAAGAATATCTCAAATGTTACAACTTCAGTAAATTCAGCTTTAGGTCCAAAACGTGATAAAATTCGTCAGTTAACCGGGGTCCATGATTTATTAAAAAAGGTATTTTAAACATGTGATAATTTATCACGACCTCCTCTTAATTTAATTATTATTTATATAAAATTATTTTGAACTACCAAAGATTCAATTCATATTTGAATTACCAACAAGGTTAAATCATTGTTTGGATCAAAAATCTTATGCTCAAGCAGTTAGATATTATGCAAAAACTTCAAGGCTTTTGGATCATTATAGGAATTTATCGGTGTTTAGTTCTATTGAAATGGAATGTAAAGAAATTATGGATAAAGTTACAAAAAAGATACGTGAAAATATGACACAAGAGGATGTATGTAAAATATTCATTTTTATAATTTGTAAATCCTTATTTAATTTATCTTATATCTTATTTTAGGCAACTGGATCAGAGATATCAGATTGTATGGCATTACTAATCACATTAAAAGAGCTTCCACAAAAACTTGCAAAAGAATATTTGGAACTGTATAATATAATTTGTAACTTTGTTTTTCTTTTTTGAACCAATCTACCTAATAGATTTATTAACTATGTTGCAAAAATATTTTTTAGTCAAAAAAAGTTTCTCTCAAATCTTTTGGAAAAAACAATTAGAGAGATGTCATCAATTCAAATCGATCCTCCATTAGAGTTGTCTCATGATAATCACGATAGTTCAAATCATACAAAAGAATCGTCACCAAATTCTTCGAAAAAGTTGGCAAAAACAAAATTAAATTTTCTGAATCAAAAATTCCTGAAAGAATTAAATAAATTTGTTGAATCTTTTAATGGATTTTTCTTAACGCCTTCAAGAGAAACTCGTGAAGTAAAATCTCCAGGAAAATCCCCAGGAAAATCCCCTAAGAGTGCGGGAAGTGATATTTTGAGATTCGTTTCTGCTAATTTGGATGGTGATGTATGTGAAAATACTTTTATTATTTAACGATGTAAAATATTTTGTATCTTAAATTCATTTATTTTAGGATAGAGACATTGCACGTCAAAATTTCATGGAATTCATTGACTCAATCGCAACAGAATATTTTGCAGTCGTGGACAATTTGCTAGATTTTCCTGTAATTATCATTTCATTCAAAAATATATTTATTTTATTATAAAACGTCATCTCAATTTTATTATTTTAATACTTTAGGAAGCAGTTACAAATCTTAAACCATCAACACATTTGCAACTATTAAATGATCTTTATTATGCTACTTTATCTTGCAATAGTCTTTGTACAATTGCAAGATTTGAAGATCGTGTTAATGATATAATTGTTGATTGGGAAATTAAATTGGCTAAAAGTTTGTTTGGAACTGCTGAAAAGGAATTGATGGGTAGGGTAATATTTATATTAATTAAATAGATTGATATTTAAAAAAATCAACTAATTATACTATCATATTTATGTTAGATAAATTTGTTAAATATGCTGATAATGAACTTAAAAAGGATTCAGCAACTTTACCAAATTCCCAACTTCGAAATTTACAAACCTTCATATTGGATTTGGAAACTGTGTATGCAGATTATTTGACAAATGATTGTTTAAAATTGTTAGAGGTTTGTAACGATTATTTTGTCAAAATTTTTAAATGAAAATTATAAAACGAAAATATCTTGTTTCATTCAATAGGAATGTGTAAAAACCGAAACTCCAATGATGCAAAGAAAGGGAGGAGCTGATCATCTCTTGGAACGATTCAAAATACAAATTAAAGAATTTTGGCATTCTGTGATACAGTCTATGAGTGTAATTATTTAGTTAACGGTTTATTTAAAAATTTTTTTTTAAAAAAAAACATAACGTAATTATTATATTATATATAGGGATATGTGGCATCGGTTCATCCAGCTCCTGTAACACAATCACCACCGCCAATCATAGTATTGATGATGTCACGCGTTTTATTGGATTTTGGAGAGATTATTGTGATGCAAGTTTACTTGGCATTCTCTAACGGACTGTATAAACAACAATCAGACCAAAGAAGAGAATTTGGCGTTGAAATGTATAATGGATTTGGTGAAAAATACACTATTGCAAAGGAATTGGTTCATGACGTTAGAGAAATTATTGGAATTTGTAAAGATGTTGCTCAGGCAATTACAATTTATGCTGATTTCTATATTCTTATATTGCGTTGTTGAAGTATTTGATTTAATGAATTTTTTAATTTATTTGATATTTTAATTTATCTAGAGAATATTGGAGACATATGTTGAAATTAAAGGAAATCAAGTTTCTGCAAAAATAAGAGACATTTATATTCCAAGTGTTATACAAAAACAATTCGAAAAAACTAATAAGTCGTCAATACCTGAAAGGGTCACTTCAATTTGGAGCGAGATTATAACTGATTTGGTATATATCGAAAAAGATGTAGTAGTATTATATGGTGGTCCAATTGACGAAAATAAAGAAGTCGTCGAAGATTCTGTTGGTATGCCATAATACATATGCTTTATTTATTCTTTAGTTTCATATGTCTTAGACATTTATTTATTTATTTATTTTTTTTCAGAACAAAGATTAAATCCATTTTTACAGTCTGGTACAAGTTCTAATACTGGTGGTGGTGGCGACAAATCACTCTTATCACCGAACACAGCATTAGTTAAATCGCCATATGCACATTCAAATTCGTCTCATTCTTCAATGAATTCTACAAGATCTAAATCACCAAATCCTTTTACAAGTTCAGTGCAACTAACTTCGCATATTGATAAATTATTTAGCGATAGAATTGAAATTTATAGTATCGTTGAAATGAGTATTATTGGTATTATGACGGGAATTGTAAAAATTTTATTAAAGGTAAGTACTAAAGAAAGGTCCCTATATACATATAGGGTGTAGAGATTGTAAAAATTTAAATTATTATTATTATTATTATTTTAAAAAAATATTAAAGACGTGGATTGAAATGATTCGATTAAATACTTTGACAAACAACTCATTTCAACAAATTCAAGTCGATTCTGAGTATATGAGAGTCAAATTATGGAGATTTATAGAGGATGAAAGGTTACTTTCTAAAAAGCTTTTTTTTTAAAATAAAAAAAAATATTTTAAATATTTATTTGAAAAAATTAATATTTTTAGGATGATGAATACTATGTTACAAGAATTGGCATCAAGTGCCTTTCGAAGGTGTGTCGAAGATCCTTTGCCATTAGTTTATGCTGTAAGTAATATTATTATTTCATTTGACATGCAACAATTATTTAAGATTAATTAATTGAATTTAATACGTTAATATTTGTTAGGATATTGAAATGATTGTCAATGGATCGGTTTCATATTAAATGAATAAATGTATGTATAATAATTAAACATTTATTTATTATAATGAAAGTGAGGTGGTGTACCGTTTGTCATTCTAAAGGGAATTTATTGAGCAAGAGATTTATATTAATAATGATATAGAATTCGAAATGAAACTTAGATTTAAGGTGTTCTGAAATAAATGCATTTAATATTTATTATTGTTAAATTGACATGAAATGAATAAGCTGATTGTTTAGATATATTAAAAGTATCCTCCTTTAAAAAGGTGAATTGTAGGAAAAAATGTTAAATAAAACTATTTACAATTAATAAGGAACCAAATATTTCAAAAAAAATACCATTGTTATCATACAAAATGGCAAAAAAAAAAAAATTTTTTTAATCAACCAATACTTATTCTAAAAGGATCGATAATACCAACTTCTTTAATTATGCCCTATATATATATATATATAACTCAACAATATGATATTACAAAGATAAATCATTCTAATTCATTCTTTTAATATTCCTCTCGTAATTTATTTTGTATGGCGCCACGAATTTCTTCAAATATATGACACGCTGCTGCATTACATAACTCATAACAATCAAAATACTAGAATGATAATAAAAAAAGTATTTATATTATTGTTCAACGACAAATAAATAGATATAATTTTTTGAACTCACCTGTCCTTCAGTAAATAATCCCAAAGATTCACAAAATAATAGGGTAGATGATGTTCTATCAAATGCAAAAGTATGAATAGATTTTGCATTTTCCATTTCTAGTGCTGTAGGATCCAATAA